GGCATTTTATAAGCTTTCCAACCATATGCTACACCATTGAGCTTTATGTCTGCTTATGTACCGTACGCTTTAGTGGTTTGAAGACTACAAAGCATGGTGTCTTTAACATTTAAAACATAGAAAGTCTGCATGTATTAAGCGAAAGTTGTATTTTTGTTTCAGCTTGAACAGTAAAAACAGTAAAAAAGTTCCCTGTTTTCTGGTATTCAAACCACTAAAACAAAAAAATATCTAAACCTCAATAGTGTAGCATATGGTTCGAAAGCTTATAAAATGGCGCAGTTTTTAACGTATTCCGGCACTTTCTTGTACACAGGGTGTGAAAAATGCAATGGACCATTGTTTTTTTAAATTTTTATCTTTTAATCTATTTACAATGGAGTTTTTGCAACTGATCCTCCGCCATTTTCTATTATTCTTGTTCAAAATTTAATGTAGAACACGAAAATGACATTATCTACTCAAATCCAAATACAGGTAATTGAGAAATCACTGTATTAAGTTTAAAAGCATGGTTATTTTTGAAAAACAAAATATTTTTGGGAAGCTAATTTTTAGATTTGGAACATTTGATATGCATCATCACACTTCATTTACTTTTTACTTACACCAAAAAATTTTTGTCACACTGAGTACCAATCACCCTGTATAACATACTAAATTTTTATCAAAATCGTTCGGGCCATTTTTGTGAAAATCCGATTTTTTCGTTATTTTATGGGGTTTTTATGGGAAAATAACATAATTTACAATAACTTTTGAACCGTAATTTTTACAGAAATGGGATTTGTACCATTTTGTTCAGAATTTAAAGGGCTACAACATACTAAATTTTTATCAAAATCGTTCGGGCCATTTTTGAGAAAATCTTATTTTTCCGGTTTTTTATAAGAAAATCCCCATTAAAAATCAAAATTTCAAAAAAATGAAAAACTCCTGGAGTTACCATGGATTAGAACCTACATACCAAACTTCATCGAAATCGGACCACAGGTGTTGTGCCTAGCTCTGTACACATCCAGACACACACACACAGAGACATCACTTCGAAAACCACTTTTTTGGGTCCAGGGGGACCCAAAACGAATATATCCACTCAAAACTCAAACTCGAAAATTTTGACGAAAACAATAATCTCCATATACTATGGTATAGGGGGAGAAAGTAAAAAAGAGCAATATCGTCTGCAATTGTTCACTGAAGGTTGTTGGCACTTAAACACTAATTTATTTTAAATTCTAACCAATTTGAAAGTTTCTGTAGCGAAGCACGGGTATTTCCGCTAGTTACTGTATATAGAAGCGTACGCCTAACGGTTACGTAAAAATTCCATAAAACTGTAAATTTAAAATTCCCTGTTATTCTTACGGAGGATAAGTAAACTGTTGTAATTCACTTGTTTATGGATATACTATGATCAAAGTTGGTGAATTTACTTATTTCATTGTAAGCTATTAACATTTCACTAAAAACACCTAATTACCTTCCCTGTAGCAGCAAACATGGGTGCTTGTCTTACCTAAAGGTTTATTACAACAAGAGACAAGACAGACTACGTGTACAGTTGATGTCATACTATCTAATTACAAAGATGGATAGTGATGTGACGAGTCGGGTCAGGGCTACAGATATACAAGGGCTGGCTCACTCCTTTGATGTTAGCGGTCGCCGCCTGATCCTACTTCCCCTCCCCCGCCCCTCCTCAGTGACGTAGCGGAGATACATCGGCGCGAGGCGCGACGGTAGCCTAGCACGGCAGCACAGCATATTAATAATTGTGTTTATAATAATGTAGCTTTATAGTGTGATTTTTAAAGCGGGTTTCGTTAACCCTCCAACTTGCAATGGGCGAACTCTGTAGTGGCAAGGCATTTTTGTCGATTTTGCAGTCATATTTTCGAAAATTCATATAAACTAATCCAACAGATCAAACCTATGAACCGTATTTATTATTTCCAACTTAAAGTGTTCGTAATGAAATGAAGAATTTGAAAATGGCAACAAAATTAATATTAAAAATATTGTAGAAAATATTGTCAGTAGGTAGAAAAATTGCTGCATGAACCAAAAATGTTTCATAAGATATACAAATTGTTTGGAATTTATTTCCCTACATGGAAATGTAAAAAGATTCCAATTACCATATATACAAAGTTATGGCCCAAAAATAATAGAATGGCAATTTTCACGATTTTGCACAACAAATTTCAAATAAAACAGAATAAATGTATTATCAAGAGATAAAGTAAAAGCAAGCATTTTTAGGCAATAATATTGGAGATCAAATGAAGTAAGAATTTTTTATGTATACTGATCATTTCAATAGATGTTTATGACTTTTAATAAATGTTTATATTTGTCTAGAAAAACATTTTGTTATTTACACGTATATATTATTTTTAAAACCCCACAAACCAACTATATAAAATGAAAGTAAACTTATTCCCCTACATGAATATACATAGTTATAAAGGCAAATATACAAAAATAAATATTTTAGTTTTTTTCTATAAAATGCTGCTGTGCCTTTTTCATTTGGCGATTAAATCGTTTGTTAATTATGACGAAATGTTTCAACAACGGGCTAAATGTAATGTCCCAGACCTCAAATTAAGTAAGTATATCGACATAAAACAGTTTATAAACTAAATAAGTACAATTTTTACAACTAATAAATACGATTAAAGTGATAAATTCAAACCCGCGATATTCGTTGTTGGTAAACAGTCAATGAAGTTCACAAAAACTGGATAAAAATAGTGTCTCAAGTTTCTAAAAGTAATGTCACATTACAGTCGAGGCACAATAAATAATATCGTAACTATAAACATTTACAATGTATAATCACGATGTAAACTGATAAAGTAAAATCACACCAAAACTCGACTTGTTAGTTATTGGTCAACAGAGATTTAGGTTAGTTAGTCAGGCAACTTAATGTATTTTTCCAACTATATGTTATTTTAATGTAATAAAATATGTAGGGCCTATAATAAAATGTAATTGATTAATTGAAATTCTTTTCCTTCCTGTAAAAGTTACAAAATACTAAGTATAGGTAATGTATTTTTATACAACCTCATTTTATATAACCTTAATGAATCCTAAAAGGTATGAATAAGTAATAAATAAATACAATTAATAATCCATACATTAAGCAATTCGAGCAATACGAACACAGATATTACACAGTAACTTAATGCATTGAATCAATAACTTCAGTATTCTTAGCCATCGCTTTACATTCCACTCCCATCCTTAAATATCTACTAAAGTTAATTTGTTACTTATTAAAATTGATGTTATACGTAATCCTATTTTAAAATCAATTACTTTTATTATAAAATACATTAATACCTAATAAAAAATGTCCAACATAGAGCTTAATAAACGCTAAATGTGCGGTAATACCAGCGCTCACACAGGCAATGATATACGGTGCCGGGCGCCCGAGGTATCGCCGTGACGTCACAGCGGCGGAGTGGTGGGGAGCCACCTGGCATCACTTTCTGAGCTCGCGTGGCCTAGCCCTTGTATATCTCTAGCCCTGGAGTCGGGTACTTTTCTGACTCGAGTGACTCGACTCGCCAACTGCCGTGAACTTGAGTTACGAGTCGAGTCAGACTCAACTCGAAACTCGACCCGTAACCAATGCATCTTAGGAGTCCGCAACAACTCGGTGTCGACCAATAGGGTTATAGTTTTGTTTTGCGAGTCGGCCGACTCGGTAGCAGCCAATAGTGTGTCAGCTTTACGAGTCGACTCGACTCGACTCGAGACGTTCCGAGTTCGTGTGAGTTCGGCATTCTCCGTACGAGTTTGTTAGTTTTGCGAGTCGGCCGACTCGGTACCGGCCAATAGCGTGTCAGCTCAGCTTTACGAGTCGACTCGACTCGAGACGTTCCGAGTTCGTGTGAGTTCGGCATTCTCCGTACGAGTTCGTTAGTTTTGCGAGTCGGCCGACTCGGTACCGGCCAATAGCGTGTCAGCTTTACGAGTCGACTCGACTCGAGACGTTCCGAGTTCGTGTGAGTTCGGCATTCTCCGTATGAGTTCGGTTTTGTTTTGCGAGTCAAACTCGTTACACATTACGAGTTCGTGTAGCTTCGGCAATCTCCGTACGAGTTCGTACCAACTCGAGTTGTAATTGAGATGACTCGAGTTGACTCGACTCGGGTCTTGACTCGAGTCAACTCGACTCGCCAACTCAACTCGTCACATCACTAAAGATGGACTGTCTAATTTAGCCATGTAAAATATACAAAACTATACAATCCAAGGTCAATCAATATTTGATTTATGCAGTTTAAAACAGTCATATATGAATTGATAAACTATTAACAACTTACTTTAATATAAATATTGTTTGTCAATTAATGTGCTTGTTTCGTATTGGTGCTTCTTTATTTAAAATGTAAATAGATACTATTTAACATGCGAGACTTGGTGGATCAAAACATTCTTTATATTAGTGCAATATATTATAGGTCTAAGTCAATTGTGTTCCTCTTAGTTTAAATGTTGTAAATAGGTGAATAAAATAGTTTGACATGGACAGTTTGAATTTATTTCTGGACTCAAAAATGCATCAGCTCTGCCTGAATATTATCTTTGATTTTATCCTTGTGAGTGAAGAGCTGTAAAAACAGACTCTGGTTAGCATAAACTAAATTTTAACAGTTTTGATTTAAAAATATGAAACTCAGTGCCGGCGTCCAGAGTCCACCTGTCTAGAGCTTGGTGGGAGAGAACTAAAATAAACGCTAAAAATTGGTGTATTATTTGACAGTTTACACCTCATATCTATCAGACATTTTGCTACTTTTAGTTCATCCTTAGGCTGTGTGTCCATGTGTCCACAAAAAACTTGCTTCAAAATAGTTTTTTGTTGTGGTCATAACTAGAGGGAAAAATATATGAAATTAGAAGTAAATTAAGATAATTAATCTATGGAAGTCAAATGGTTGCACACACCTATTAATAGGCAATCACTAAAACTATTAATCTGATAAGTATTATATTTATTCACCTACAACAAAATGAACAAGATAGCAAACTTTTATTTAGCAGAACTCAGGTCTAAAGATTGTTGTAATTCTTTCAAACTTCTTTCTCCATGCTTAATCATCATTTTTATAGTTATCTGAAACAAAAATATATATGTAAATAAATATTTTATATTTAAAATTGTAAAGAAAAATTAACTTTAGTTTATTTGTAAAGGAAAAATGGGGATTTTATGTATTGTCTATTTTCTAACCAATAACTCTTTACAAATCTGTTGGTTGCCCCTAGGTTGGAAGAATCAAGAGAAAATCATTAACAGAGCAATGGTAGTGAAAGCTTGAGGTTAAATTAAAATTATTAGAGTGAGTCCTGAAGAATAAAAATTATTCCCAGGGATATTTAGGTGACGGTCTTGGTACTGATAGATTTTTTGTAGCATTAGCTGTAGCTACGCTACTTTTAAGATTTTGTAGCTTTATCTGCTACATTTTTCAAGTAGTTGTAGCGGAATTTTAGCTACTTTTCTCGCTACATTCACATTGATTGGGATAGTGATTTTTATTACAACCTTACGTGAAACAACCTCTTTCAAACAAATTTTCAAGAAAATTAGGCCGAACTACTTTAGATTCAGATTCAGAAACACTTTATTCAAGATTTTAATTTTACAAATATAAATGCAGAATGGCGTCAATAAATACAATTAATTCTATAAAATATTATCAAAATGCTCACTAAATGAGTAGTAACATTTGCTTAATATAAATATGTTCAATTTTTTTTTAAATGTCTTAATATTATTAATTTCCATTAAATCTTTGGGCAGAGAATAAAAAAACCTAGTACCTGCAGCAGTGGGTTTTTTTTTATTATAAAACTCTAAACTATGCCTCTGGATGGCTGGGTAGTTCCGATGCCGAGTATTATAATTATGGGTCATTCTCAATTTTGGAAGTGTATGTGTATTCATTTCACTTTTTAGATTGATTATAGTTTTATAAATATATAATCCATACACTGATATTTAATTTAGCAAAATACTGTTTTGCCGATTGGTTTTCTCCTAAGTTTAACATGATACGTATGGCTCTCTTTTGCTTGACTTTCTTGGCTTCATACAGCTGGTGCAGCCTTTTTATTACCTATTACAACCTTGAGTGGACATGGAAGCCATTATATGAGTGTTATGCACATTTTTGGTTCTCATTTCCTTCATTTGTTGCTCTATGATTACTGACAGATAAAATAAAATCGCTAAATGCAGACGACGTTTAGACGTTACTGGTGATAAGAGAAGCTGTTGAATGATTATAAGTGATTGACAGGGAAATTAGTAATCAATGTAAGTAGTTTCTTTATTTTATCGATAGTTTCAACTTCGGTTTTATAAAAAACCAACACTAAACCTTAAAGTAATGAGAAAGCTGGTCTATCAACCTTCACTTCAGCTTTTGATTGTGGTTAATCATCACAAGCCCCTCCTTGTTTGGATTACAAAGATTTTTTAAAGGCTTACTAAATTAACGAAGAGGAAATTACCTGAAGAAATTTGAGACCTGCCTGGACTATATAATAGTTGTAACATTAACAAAAAAATTTCCATATAACATGAAACTTACATTTAAAAAATTGCATAGTTTGCTCCTACTTACAGCTCTTGTCAAGGACTATTCCTAGGCTATGCTATTGGATTAAGACGAATAGCAAATTTAATTAATAGAAATATATCTGTTAAGTGCTTGTATAAGAACAAGCCTACTACAGCCAACAGCTGGAGTTTCAAAACAATGTTTGTTTCCCATGTTAATCTTATGGAGAAATATGAAACTTTAAAGGGCCACAGGGCCTCCTCACTCTTTAATTATTTACCTAAAATAAAAGTTTCCTGCACAACTTCATGCTACGCTCTTTCCAATTACACCAAAAACATGTCTGGGACGGGTGGCGTCGTCCTGTAATCCAGCTACTAGGAGGTCACGAATTGTGGATATTTATAGGGATGCACTGTGGATGCGATGCTCCCTGGTGTGGATTAACGTCCGCACTAGTGAGTACTACGACTATCCGCAGTACTATCCTGATAATTAGACCAATTCGTAAATTACAAGGAAAAATGTGGTTCGGATTCCACTATAAACTGTAGGTCCCTTAGTTGCCATTAGCTGTATGGGCAATTAATTAACAGCTGTGTCTAAGGAACATGTCGGCCTTAGTCACTAACAAGACTACAAGATCGCTCCACTCATCCTACACTCATCATTCACTCATATTTGGGTTAAAATACGCAAATAGTGGCGTCCCCATCTTAAAATAATTGATAATTGATAAATTGATAAATTGAATTGTCAATCGGTTTAGTAGTTTCGGATGAGTAATTGTCACAAGAATCCTGCTTGCGTATTAAATAAGTATATAGATTTAATTGAGGCTACTAGCACTATAAATCCTGTTGTAAATTGTTACTGGCCAGTACTTGTTTTGCCCTTGAAGATCAGATCTCATTGGCTGAGTGCAGTGCCAGTTATGCTGGACACTTAATCCTTGGTACAGCTTATTTACAAAGTATTTTTATTAAATTATTTACCAGCGCTGTGGGGAGTAGCCTAAAAAAACCTATGCACTTAATCAGTTAATAAGAGCCTGCATGCCCCCCCCCCCCCCCGCAAGTTTGTTTGCTGGGTCCCCCTCTCTCAATAATCTGTAAAAACATTATCACATGTATTACCGCCTAAACTTGCACTTTAGCTTGGCACGGCATCTCCCGAGGCATCATTGTCGTCTTCAAAGATCTCGATGTCTTCATAAAAGATAATCATAAAAATTTGAAAAGAACAGTCATTTTATTTTATGAAATATTTTGAATGTTTCAAGGATAAAACTGCAAACCTGATAAGTATGTTTTATATTTGAACATAATTGGTGATCTAAATTTAGTTTGCAAACATTATCAAGATTTGTTTTTTTACAAATGTTATTATTAAAAATATAATTGTATTTTCCGGATTCAATGACATGTCAGTAAAAGTGTATTTTAAAATTCCGTACAAAAAAGCAATTATTGAACATAATTTTACCTGATTCCCAATTTATGTTTTAACTTACCCACTGTGGATACTAATGTTTCTTTTTAAAAATATAATGAGTTGGTTTTATTTATACCTATGTAAACAGAAAAAATGCTTTATACAAATTAAGGATACATTAAACATAGGGAAAATACCTCCTCAGTGTGATGTTTATTTGTCTCAAAATCTTGTCTTGCCCACTGTCTTAAGTCTCTCTGGCTCTCCTTATCAGGTATTTGTTTGATACTCCGTAAAATATCTCTATAAAGCTTCAACACTTGTTGCCTTAACATAAACTGAAACAAAGTAATAGAATTAAGCTCATTTCAAACTTAGTTTAGGTAGCTATGCTATGGGCCATTCTAAAATTAAGTGGAATTCCATCCAAGTTTTTTCTTTTCATTATTTTATGAAAGAATATTTATTTCTAATCTTTTTTTAAGACTAAATAACAATCTGAATACATTTATAGACGTACACCCTTTGTAGAGGCTTAGAATGAATATAATATAATATACTATCTTACTATCTTATATAGTACTAAAAAACTTTTGCAAAACTTATGACAGCTAGCCTGACCATACTACTGAACCGAATTACACACAGTTGGTACCAAATGAAAGACATTTACCTGTCATGTGCAGAATCTATATAAATAGGCACATGGGCAAAAAGTGTCTTTTTAACCCTCGCTCATTTTTAGACCTCGGCTTTGCCTAGATCGTAAAACTCAACCTCGCGTCTAAGAGTCACTAAAGTTCCACTTAATTTCAGAAAGGCCCTGATCTAACTAAAGCATTTTAATGTGTCAAACCTGCTACAGTATTTTACATTTTACTCCTGAGGTGGCTCAGATTTATTAGCAACCGATTCCAAGTTACTGAAATTCAATAAAACACCAATTCGAAATCTGAAAGAACTTCATCAACAAAAAAATTTATCTTTCCTTGGACTTCCTCTTTCTTGTTTTATATTAAGTAAACACAACAGATTCTGTTCCGGAGATCAATCTCTACCTATTTGAGGATGACACAACAATGATCGTAAGGGGGACTGACAGCGCGGTCCTGGAGGCCGAACGATCAAAGAGCAAACAATTTGGCTGGCTTCTTCCCTTCAAACAAACTCAAGTTAAGTTAACTTCACAAAAAAACAGGATACATGTTTTTTTGCCTAACAGCAAAAAACAAAATTCTGAAAAACTCGTTGGTAGTTCTGTGATTGACTCTGCAGCCAATGAGTGTTTGTGGTGTAGTGGATAGAGTACTCGGCTGATGTCTAAGAGGTATTCAGATCGCATCCCATCGGTGACACTAATTTTTTGTCAAAGATTTTGCTTAGAATTAAATTTCTTTTTTAATTTAATTAAACTGTACATCATTTTGTTAGAATTTGAGGCATTGGTAATACATTTTATTTTATAAACAGAATTTAACCTTCATTCGACTTTTTCATTAGCCTATCATTAAGTTTGTTAGCTTTAGGCCTACAGCCTCTGCAGGCTTGAGCAGAGATCCAGATGTCAATATCTTTCCTAGTTCTGTTCAGTACAGTATGGCTAGATAGATGTGATTTGTCTGATTATCATCTATTTTCCACTGCATTGAACAGAACAGAAGGATTATTACAGAGATCAACGTCCTGTTACCAGACGCGTGTATCCTCTGACTATTTTAAAATCAACAGATAGGCCCTAACTTAAACTAACACTAAAAATTATTGTGCGTTGAATGGAAAAACATAAGTGCTGCAGTTTTCTTCGACTTAGAGAGAAACTAGTTTTGGCTTCTACAATCATAGGCCTAGCACAGATTTGTGTTGATTCATAAGTTAGCAAAAAAAATTGTTGTTAATTGCATCATGTTTGTTAATGGTGTTTAGTCATTTATCGCATTGTATAACCAGCTTAATAATATATTTTTTCCTAAGCCATTTAAGTTGGGCTAGCTTATAGGCCTAGGCCTATTATTATTTATAAGTTAGGTAGATTCATATAGGTAGCCTAGGTAAGTTAACTAATAAGATCTTGCAATTGTATCAAATATTAGTCCTATTTAGCCTATCTAGCTCAATGGGAGAAAACAAAATTAAAATACCCTACATTATTTGTGAATGATATTAGGTCTACACAGTGAAGTGTTAAAAATGTTATGTTACACAGTTGTTAGGCTGAGACGGACCGCAAATAACTGCTGCTGAATGGAAATGACAATAAAATCACCTGTTTCAGTGACAATGCTGGGTTTTTAATATTACTTGCCATGTAGACTACGCTGTAATGATCTATAAATATTTTACAATATATACAAGTTTTATTTAGAACTGGAGCCTAACCCAACTAAAAACATTGACATTGACTTTTGACAAACTAAACAACAAACACTAACACTAAACGAGGTGACTTGACGTGCTGCTAATAGCCACTGCCAACCCCCAACACTAAGACTAAACTAAACAAACAGTAAACACAACACACAACACAGCACAGTTCAGTTACATTACTTACATTTTAGTAACATCAACATCCATTGGCGTGAAACTGGCAATAGATCAGCAATAACCCACTCCACTTCTCCTACTTCCCCTCCGACGAATATACGTCACAGTAAAACGTCATAACAATGATGGCGTCACAGCAGGATTCGTCATAGAGCCGACGTCATAACCTCCAAAATATCAAGTGGCGGGAACTTTTTTTGGCGGCACACGGCCATGATGGCGTTCGGTTGTTCCCACGAAGCGTTGAGTATAGCAAGTGTCTGAAATATATGTAAAAAACTGCATAAATAAATTAATGTTTTCATGGAGTTGTAAACAAAGTAAACGCTTAAAGCCTATCCTAGCACTAAACCTTATAAATAACTTCTTGATCAGCATTGTATAAACCTTATACTAAGTTATAATTATTTGTACACTCGTATTGGTTGAAATGTGTAAGAATATTACAATAGGCCTATGTATTTTATTGCTGAAGTACCCTTTACAACGATCTTATTTACTCGTATACCCTGACTAATTTACAGTTGAGATATGTAACCGTGAATGGCGTTGGTGAAACTTTGGTTCCATAAGAACCCATCGTACTTAAAAAATTACCATAAATTTCTATTGCTGGCCTATTCCCTTGGTACGATTTCCTGTTTTTCTTTTGAAATATGTTTATTACATTGTTATGAACTGGAAAACACGTAGTTTATGTTTTAACACTCATTTATAGTTGAGAAATGACATTGAATGGCGTTGGTGTGACCTCGGTTCCATAAGAACCCAACCTACTGAAAATAGATTTTATTCGTTTATATATGTTAGTTACTCCTTAATAAAGACTACCTAACACCTGTCCGATAAAATTATTAATATTTATCAATTTAATGTATTATTTAAAATTTGCATCAAGAAAATAATAAATTACCCTAAATTTCTATTGCTGGCCTGTTCCCTTGGCACGATTTCCTGTTTTTCTATTGAAATATGTTTGTAACATTGTTATGAACTAGAAAACACGTCACTTATGTTCTAAGACTCATTTATAGTTTAGATATGTGACTTTGATTTTAACAGGTGTGACCTCGGTTCCAAGAACCTAACAGACTAAATATTGGTTTTTTTTGTTTGTACATGTTTGTTACTTCTAAATAAACAATATCTAACACCTTTTTGATAAAATTATCAGTAATTATCAATTTAATGCATTATTTAAAATTGGCCTCAAGAAAATATTAAATTAACATAAATTTCTATTGCTGGCCTATCCCCTTGGTACGATTTCCTGTTTTTCTATTGAAATATGTTTATTACATTGCTATGAACTGGAAAACACGTCGTTTATGTTCTAATAATTATTTATAGTTGAGATATGTCACTTTTATTTTAACTGGTGTGACCTCGGTTCCAAGAACCTAACAGACTAAATATTGGATTTTTTTTGTTTGTACATGTTTGTTACTTCTTAATAAACAATATCTAACACCTTTTTGATCAAATTATCAGTAATTATCAATTTAATGCATTATTTAAAATTGGCCTCAAGAAAATATTAAATTAACATAAATTTCTATTGCTGGCCTATACCCTTGGTACGATTTCCTGTTTTTCTTTTGAAATATGTTTATTACATTGCTATGAACTGGAAAACACGTCGTTTATGTTCTAATAATTATTTATAGTTGAGATATGTCACTTTTATTTTAACTGGTGTGACCTCGGTTCCAAGAACCTAACAGACTAAATATTGGGTTTTTTTTGTTTGTACATGTTTGTTACTTCTTAATAAACAATATCTATCTAACACCTTTTTGATAAAATTATCAGTAATTATCAATTTAATGCATTATTTAAAATTGGCCTCAAGAAAATATTAAATTAACATAAATGTCTATTGCTGGCCTATCCCCTTGGTACGATTTCCTGTTTTTCTATTGAAATATGTTTGTAACATTGTTATGAACTAGAAAACACGTCACTTATGCTCTAAGACTCATTTATAGTTGAGATATGTCACTTTTATTTTAACTGGTGTGACCTCGGTTCCAAGAACCTAACAGACTAAAAATGGGTTTTTTTGTTTGTACATGTTTGTTACTTCTTAATAAACAATATCTAACACCTTTTCGATAAAATTATTAGTATTTATCAATTTAATGTATTATTTAAAATTTGCATTAAGAAAATAATAAATTAACATAAATTTCTATTGCTGGCCTATCCCCTTGGTACGATTTCCTGTTTTTCTTTTGGAATATGTTTATTACATTGTTATGAACTGGAAAACACATCGTATATGTTCTAATAATTATTTATAGTTGAGATATGTCACCTTGAATGGCATTGGTGTCACCTCAGTTCCATAAGAACCCAACTTACTAAAAATAGATTTTTTTCGTTTGTACATGTTAGTTACTTCTTAATAAACAATATTTAACATCTTTTCAATAAAATTATCTTAATATAGAATCCAATGTTATTCGGTTCCACTGTCTGACTTTGGTTGCATGACGACGCTACATTAAACCAATTAATGTTGCATGACTTTGGCTAAACATGTATTTTTGTGGGTAATAAACTAAACCTATAACAATTTAGGGGATTTAAGTAATCATTTCTTTGATTTTATAGTGTTTTTTAATTAATTGGAAACAAAAAAATATATACAAAATTAAAAAAAAATACAATACAACAAACATAAAATATATCTAGGCCTACACTCCTGGTGGGGCAGGCTCATTATGTTGAGCGGGTTGAGGGGGATGTCCCTGGCGAGGCATCATGTCAGGGGCTCGAGGGGTTAAGTTGAGATGCTGGGGAATGATGTAGTGGCGTAGTGGTAGTTGTTGAGGGATATGTTGTGGGATTTGTTGTGGATGGTACAATGGGGAAATGGTATTATGAGGCGGAATGAGGTATTTTAGTGAGGTTGGGTGGTTAAAATAATTGGGAGGGGGGAATATGCCAGGGTAGGAGTGTTGTGGTAGTACCGGGAGTCGTTGTGGTATGCCTAGTGGGCAAGTTTGTTGAAGTAGTTGTTGTTGTTGAGGTGGGGGTGGTGGTGGTTGTTGTTGAGTTGGGGGTGGTGGTAGTTGTTGTTGAGGTGGGGGTGGTGGTAGTTGTTGTTGAGGTGGGGGGGGGTGGTGGTTGCTGTTGAGGTGGGGGGGGTGGTGGTTGCTGTTGAGGTGGGGGTGTTGGTGGTGGTTGTTGAGGTGGTGGTGTTGGTGGGGGTGGTTTTTGATGTGGGGGTGTTGGTGGGAGTGAAGGTAGTTGTGGTGGGGGTGTTGGTGAGAGTGATGGTGAGAGTGATCGTGATTGTCTGCGTCTTCGCGGCGGGGGTGTTGGTGAGAGTGATGGTGAGAGTGATCGTGATTGTCTGCGTCTTTGCGGGTGGGGTGTTGGAGATCGTCTGGGCCTTCTTCAAGTTGGTCCCCTCGTTAATTTAATATTTTCTTGATACAAATTTTAAATAATACATTAAATTGATAAGTACTGATAATTTTATCAAAAAGGTGTTAGATATTGTTTATTAAGAAGTAACTAACATGTACAAACAAAAAAAAACCAATATTTAGTCTGTTAGGTTCTTGGAACCGATGAGGTCACACCAGTTAAAATAAAAGTGACATATCTCAACTATAAATAATTATTAGAACATAAACGACGTGTTTTCCAGTTCATAACAATGTAATAAACATATTTCAAAATAAAAACAGGAAATCGTACCAAGGGGATAGGCCAGCAATAGAAATTTATGTTAATTTAATATTTTCTTGAGGCCAATTTTAAATAATGCATTAAATTGATAATTACTGATAATTTTATCAAAAAGGTGTTAGATATTGTTTATTAAGAAGTAACTAACATGTACAAACGAAAAAAATAGATTTTTAGTAAGTAGGGTTCTTATGGAACCGAGGTCACACCAATGCCATTCAAGGTGACATATCTCAACTATAAATAATTATTAGAACATAAACGACGTGTTTTCCAGTTCATAACAATGTAATAAACATATTTCAAAAGAAAAACAGGAAATCGTACCAAGGGGATAGGCCAGCAATAGAAATTTATGTTAATTTAATATTTTCTTGAGGCCAATTTTAAATAATGCATTAAATTGATAATTACTGATAATTTTATCAAAAAGGTGTTAGATATTGTTTATTAAGAAGTAACTAACATGTACAAACGAAAAAAATAGATTTTTAGTAAGTAGGGTTCTTATGGAACCGAGGTCACACCAATGCCATTCAAGGTGACATATCTCAACTATAAATAATTATTAGAACATAAACGACGTGTTTTCCAGTTCATAACAATGTAATAAACATATTTCAAAAGAAAAAAAGGAAATCGTACCAAGGGGATAGGCCAGCAATAGAAGTTTATGTTAATTTATTATTTTCTTGATGCAAATTTTAAATAATACATTAAATTGATAAATACTAATAATTTTATCGAAAAAGGTGTTAGATATTGTTTATTAAGAAGTAACAAACATGTACAAACAAAAAAACCTATTTTTAGTCTGTTAGGTTTTTGGAACCGAGGTCACACCAGTTAAAATAAAAGTGACATATCTCAACTATAAATGAGTCTTAGAGCATAAGTGACGTGTTTTCTAGTTCATAACAATGTTACAAACATATTTCAATAGAAAAACAGGAAATCGTACCAAGGGGATAGGCCAGCAATATAAATTTATGTTAATTTAATATTTTCTTGAGGCCAATTTTAAATAATGCATTTAATGAATAATAAATTATTATCATTACTGATAATTTTTTTCGAAAAGGCGTTAGATATTGTTTATTAAGAAGTAACTAACATGTACAAACGAAAAAAATCGATTTTTAGTAAGTTGGGTTCTTACGGAACCGAGGTCACACCAGTTAAAATCAAAGTGACATATCTCAACTATAAATAATTATTAGAACATAAACGACGTGTTTTCCAGTTTATAACAATGTAATAAGCATATTTCAATAGAAAAAC